TTTTGGTGCTAAACACGGCTTAATGGAAACACATGTTTGGTGGGCTTCCCTTATGAAATATGATCGCAATTCGAAAATCAAATACCCGATTGTTGGTGTGTCTCCCTTATCCTCGTGGATTTGGTTGGAAGGAGAGTTATACCCGGACTTGAGACGCTCGCGAGATGGGAGGTTTTGAGGAATAGGGGGGGAAGAGAGAGCGCTTACCTCCACCCTGGATCATGAATTCTGGAATCACTCTGTGAAAGATGGATCCCTTGTAGTAGAGGGGTTGACCTGAGACTGTCGACTTGCCACGCTCGCCTGTACAAAGCGCCCGAAAACTGGCCAACCAGCATGAGAATGGAGAAATAGCAGGGTAGCACTGGAGGCTCACTTTTCAGCCGTCTTGGGAACGACATCGCTATAGAGCTGAAAGATGATGCTGGCAGACCGAGTGAGATAGACGATAAAAAGTTGCGAGAATACGCACCGTCCGGCAGACACGCCGTCTATTTCCACATCCAAAAAGACACGCGGTCGTCGCGGTGCGGCCATAATATCGCAGCGTGTTTGCAAGTGTGGTTGGAGGCTAAATACCTGGTGCTGGATGGCCACTACTATATGGAGACGACAAAGGTGTGAGGCTGGGATTTGCCAGAGGTCCAAGAGAGGTATTTGCAACGGCGGCCAGACGGTCAGGGAACAGCTGAACAGGGGATTTTGAAAATACGACGAGTTCGGTCCCTTTTTGAGGTCCATCTTGAAAAAAAAAATATTATTTATTATTCCTTGGACACGCTCACCACCGCCAAAAAGGAATTGCTACGAGAACATTGTCGGCGAGCACGACGAAGACGACGACGAGCAGCTGCATCATTCAGTCCAGGAACCATCGAGCTCACTTCACGCTCTCTCGCGCTCTCTCTCCTCCTCTCCTGCGCTGCTGGTCGCCCTCTCCTGGGTTTGTGTCTGCTTTCTGCTCGTATTTCTGCCTCTAGCTCATTCTGGTTTCGCATCTGCAGCCACAGTTTCCCATACCCATTGACCAAATCGGCTGCGTCCCCCTCGAAACTCGTCCCCCACCCCTGCTAGGCCCAAGACCAAGCGACTACGGGATAGTCCTCTCTCTCTGCTCCTCAACGCGATCTCTGTTTGATTCCGAATCACACACCCGAAACCATGAGCGGCAATCCAATGCGCGAGTTCAGCGCCGTTGTTTTGGGCGCCGGTGGTGTTGGCAAGAGTGCGCTCACGCTGCGCTTTATGAAGGGTTATTTCCATGAAGCAGTACGTGATGTTCTTTGCGCATCCTTAGCTGCCTCGGACTCGCTCGCTCACCCAAGTTTTTCCAATCTTTTGCACGCACTCGCTCCATCTTTACCCCACATTCTCACAACACCAGTACGATCCTACTGTACGTTCCTAGTCCCTTTCTGCACCCGATCCAGACTGGTTGATGCGAGCCGTGATCTCTTTTCTAGATTGAAGGTTCGTTCAATTCTCTTCTTTCATATAACACTCGGGACCCGCTGTGGCTGATCATTACCCTCCCTTACTAGAATCCTATCGGCGAAACATCACGTTGGAAGAGGAAACCAGCCGAGTAAGCATTTCCACTCTCTTTTCCTCTTATTTCTGGGCATTTCTCTCCATTTGCCAATCCAATCCGATCTATTGCCCTTCCTCTTCGCTCCCCCCTCCCTCTCCCCGCCGGCCCCTCGAACGCCAACTCGGAGCAGCCGCTGCACCCCTCGGTTTCGTCTTCAATTCGAACTCGACACAGAAACAGTGGACCATCTATTCGCTACGGGAGGGTAATCCCTTCTGCCAGCGTCTTCCCGTGGCAACCCATTTCCAAATCCCGACCTTCCTATATTCAGCACCGACAATCACCGACAATCACCAACATTCTAGGATTTGATGGCACGAGAACCCTCGCCGTATTCATGCACGCTTTCCACGGATCAAAGAGCTCGCCAGAGACTTTCCTTACGCGAGCGGGCGGACCTGTTTGCCAAACGAGCCAAAGCCTAAAATGGGTCTAGGCGGTTGGGATTGGATTGGATTCATCATTTTCCTCGCGAATCCATTATCTGTTCGCCCCGCCACATTCCACCAAACTGAATAACGGGCTACTAAAAAACCACCCAACCTCCCACCCTGGGTTCCATCAATGTTCTTGGTCGTAATTGGTCGTAATACAGGTCCGAACTAGCGAGAGGGGTCGTCCGACCCGACACGCCGACGGCTTCTCCCCTCGCCCTCCTTCCCCCTGATTATTTACGCCCGACCTGGGTCTGGACTATTATCCCGTGCTTAGCCCGCCGCAGTCGGACCCAGTATTGGTCATTGGTGACAGCAGCCACACCCGACGGAGAGGACAGTATTATCCGATCGCAAAAACGAAATAGAAAATGGCTCACAAAAATCAAATTATCCATTTCGCCCTCGATGCCATCCTCACATTCGACAACCGTGCCTACGCTTTTCCTTTCCACGTTACGTGGTGCAAAGAGGCGTGAACCGGAATCGCTAGCAGCTAGGGGACGCCACTCGCAACCCTATTTTCCCCGATTTGATTCATTGACCCTCGGCCGTTCTCCCTCGTTCCACGCATCTCGCTCCCTAACCCCCACAAAGATTCTCCTATTCGAGAGAGCTATTGATGCCCAATTCATTTCTCCACATTGTGCATTCCTCATCGCCACCCCTTCTTTTTCCCATTTCCGTCCGTGACTGTACAAACATTCTAACGCTCGTTGCTCTAGTTGGAAGTCCTCGATACGGCTGGCGCGGAACAATTCGTCGCCCTCAATGATCTCTACATCAAGGTACTGTTTTCTCCTCCTTTCATGTCCGTTTAGCGCGGCACGTTTCCATGCTTCTCGGCATGTCTGGTTTGCTCGGTCTAATCTCGTGCTCACGCCAATTTGCTTTTCTCACATTGTACCAGGCCGGCAAGGGGTTTATTCTTGCATTCAGCTTGACGGATCACAACACCCTCAAGGAGATTGAATCTCTGCGAGAGCAGATACTAAGATTGAAGGGCGACCGAGTGAGTTTATTTTGGAAAGAAGACCTTTTTGCGCTTACGAATCGTGCAGGTTCCCATCGTAGTCGTCGGCACCAAATCTGACTTGATAGAAGAGCGTCAGGTGGACCGCGAACAAATGATGAATATTAGTCTCGGGTGGGGTAAGTGTTAACCTCTTTTTTTTGTGTCCACGCCAATAAGCGTGTGTTTACGGGGATGCGCTTTGCTAACCGCGGTTGTCTTCCCTTCGTGTCTTCTCGGGACATCTAGGCGTGCCTATCTATGAAACATCAGCCAAGAAGAATTGGCATGTTACGGAGGCATTCGAGGACCTAGTTCGACAGATGAGGATACGGTACCCTGTAACTCAACGCACCCGCCGAACCGGAGGTAGCTCGAGGCGACACAAGGAATCGTCCAAGCACTCGGGCGGTGGTCACAATCAGCACTCCACGACACCCGCCGGCATCAACTCTGGTGGGCATCAAGATGGACGAGAAAGCCCCAAACCCGACAAATGCGTAGCTATGTAATTTTTTGGGTCTTTTTACTCCCCCCCCTCCGACCAGCTTTTTATCGTGCAACTCTTTTTTTTTTCTTGGTTTTGGCTTTTCTTTCTCTTCCTTCCTCCTTCAAAGCTATGTAAAACTCTACTCGCTTTAACCAAACTGGACTACCCCCCACCCCACCCCATTTCGTCCTTCTCTGCGACCTTGCTCCGTTCTTTCTCGGTTCCACCATGGTCTATTCCTCGTAGCGCGCCGTTACTCGTCAATCCGTCACCCTTCAAACTATTCCCAACTTGTTCCTTACAACCATCCCCTGTCGACACTGGTTGATCCCAAACTCGAACCAATGCACTAGCAGTTGCGCATGCGCAGCTCTGAAACCAAATCTCCCTCTTTCTCGACGCCTTTCAATTTTTTTTTGCAGTTCTTTGTTGTCCAGCTAGCGAAGCCCCCGGCGCCCAAACCATATCTTTTCTCCTTACACGGGGTGTCCTGTCTATAGTACCTCACTTCTCAACCTCCTATCCCTCTTCTGGTAGTCACCAGAATGAAGGTGGTGTCGTGGGTTCTTCGCTGCCGAAGGACATAAGAGCTGTAGTGAACGGTGTTCTCTATTTCTATGTCAAATTGGCTCCAGGTATCGGTCGACCTTCAAGTTGTGTTCTTCGATATGAAAAGGTGCCAAAGAAAATCATTGCCGATAAGCCGCCCATCATATTTCCTCGATGCAAACACGAGTCTCTGGAGAGAACTGTAGCTAACCCCCACTCCCCCCCGCAGTCCTTCTACCATCACCATCAATCAAACCAATTTCCAAATCCCATCTCACGACTTTCCAATTCACCTTATCCATTCTTTGCTTTCCCACAAGTGCCTGCTCCCTTCAACCTGGGGCCTACAGTTCTCATTTCCACCTTCCTCCTGGAATCCCGACTCTCCGCGCATCGTTTTCGAGGATCTTGATTCGGCTGGCGTCCAGTTTTTTTCATAGTTCAAAGCGGGAGATCTGCAAACTCTGCGTAATGTGCAAGCCTCTCTCCATTTCCTCGTTTCCTCATTCTGCTTTTCCATCTCACTATCATACGATATTCCCGTAATGTCACCTCTCTAATCACCTCCTTTCGTGCAACTCCAATCCTAGCGTGTCGACTTCCCGGTCTCCATTCACCTAGTCTCTACCAGATTTCTTTCTGCAACGAGAAATCAATCACTCTCATTTACGACACTACACTCGTTTAGTACAAATTAACATTCCTTTCACCTTCCTTTTTTACTTTCCCTCATTGCTGGCATATGCGTACCATATTGTCACAAATACACACCGCCCATGTCCTCTTCCACCCCATTGTTGCCCTTCTCCTCCTCGACCCAGTTTTCAGGACCTGCCCTTTGCCACATTCAAAATAAACACGCCCTTGAAATTTGTCCTGATCAGCATTTCTGCCATGCCACCTCCTTGCTCCCCTCCACCTTCATTCCTTTTTTTTCGCCTCCTTTTCCTCTCGGCCCGAGTCTCGACGTGCTACGGGAATAGATATGCCAATACCTGCTTGATCTGAATCTGTATCTTCTGCAATTAAATCTCGTTATCTGGCGAGTAGTCGTGATAAAAATCTGAGAGTGGCCAAGGTGCCTCCATTGAATTGGCGTTCGACTTGGAAAGAGCCTCTATTTATCGTCTAACTCGTCGGCATCCCTGAAAAAGTTCAAGTACCTCTAAAAACTTGATAATGCCAAAAAGAAAGAGAGGTGCGGCACCTGAAGTGGCTGAAGGTAATGAGCGTCCGGAGACGCCTGTAAAGGTAGAAGCCCCGTCTGGTGGCCAATTACACGAACTGCTTCCACAAGTATGTACTCCTACCCTCCTCTCTCACAGCAATTCTAACACTTTTTGAACTTTTTTCAAAGCTAGAAACGACATTATCGGCAACGAGCCCATGCGAATCCCTTTTCAGACCACAACCTTGATTATCCGAGTTCACCTTCTGCTATTGATTGGACTACTCATTATCCTATGCACCCTGGGAAGAGAGTGGAGGTGGCGGATATTGGGTGCGGATTCGGTGGATTGTTGACTGTTTTGGCACCTTTGATGCCCGATACTCTAATCTTGGGTATGTCTATATCCTAACTTGGTTTGCTCTATGACTGATTATGGTATGTATTCATTACAGGAATGGAAATTCGGGCTCAGGTCACGCAATATGTGACGGACAGAATTGCCGCGCTGAGGGTAGCAGCTGCAGAACCGCCGACAGCAAGAATATCCGAGTTCACCTTCTGCT